AGTCCTGGTTCACTGTTGAAATAAATAAAAAGATTAAGAACCACTACAAGAAACTATCTTTTCTATGTGAATAACTGTTCCTCTTTAAATAGCTCTACTAAACTTGCTAAATAATCTTCAAATAAAGGTTTATTCTTTTCCCTTAGGGAAAGGAAGCCTGCTTTTTAAGTAGTAATCATAGAACCACTGAAAATATATATATATATCACAAACGTTTGGCTTTCTAGTTTATGTTGAAATTACTGGACTGTGATATTTAGTAGCAATATTTGTATTTTCTACAGTTAATTTTCTAAAATAAGAAGGGGAATAAATCCACCCATAATTCTGTCTTCAACTATATATATTTCTGCTAGTAACTTAAGTGAAAAAGAAACTATTTCTCATAGTTTGTGAAGAAAAAAAAAAAAGCCCAACCATCAAACACTCTTTATACATGCTCCATTGAAAGCCAGAGAGTTGGTTGTTTTTGGGTTTTTTTTTTGTTTTTTTTTTTTTTCATAAAAAAAGCCACAAACACCACCACCAAAAAAAAAAAAAATACAAACCCCAACCACAAACCCAAAATTTTGATCGACTGTCAGGAGCTATGCCAAATTAGATGAACAGCTCATGCCTCAGGCATATGCAAAGTGGAAAAACAGGGCTATTGTTTATTTGATAGAGTGCATCAATACATCATCTTATAGAAGTACTATAAGTAAATACAGTTGTGTCTTTTGCATCGTTAGATTCACCCTTCCTACTCCTAATGCCCCAGAATGAATGTCAGGCTGGAAAGATTGTTTCCTCTGTTAGTGAAAAAGCCTTTTGCTGATCAAGGAATTGACTCTTGGGTGGTGTTTGGAGGACAGGCTGTCCTTCTGCCCTCAGCTTTGTATCAAGCTTTGCCAATTTTATATCATCCTACCCTATAATAACTGAGATATACAATAAGATGAAACACTTGCATAAAAACCAGCAGTTACTGAAAAGCTGTATTTCTACTTACCGTTCAGCAGGGATAGCCAAGGAATATTAAAAATGAAAACGAACTAACATTAATTTAATATTTTCTGTGCATATGAATGAACTTTTAAAAGCAGATGCCATGGCCAAATAGAACATTTCAAATCAAGTTCTATACAGAGAACCTAAACAGGCATGCTGGTTAGGAAGTGGGGAGCTGCTGAGCCCGCACAAGCGGTGGGCAGCCCGAGCCATTTCTTTGCCTACAGTTTGTTCAGAGGGAAGTGAAAAAAGGAAGAGCTTATCTGATATGTGTGTGTCCTTTTGCGTGAATATTTTAATTATCCTTTTCATTATTTAATCACAAATCCAGAACAAACGGTTAATGCATGCATAATTTGCACCAGAAGCAAGTCATGTCATGCCAGAAAGATATCAGCACTGAAATGTGGGTTTTATCACTTTAAAATAAGAATACAGAGGAGAAAGGTGGTTTAGGGTGTGTGTGCGTTTTTAATTAAACAACATACAGGTATGAATCAGGAAGGCAAACCCCAGTGCATAAATGGAATGAAAGGGCATTCAATCCAAATGCCAGATTCCTCCTTTAATTCCCAGAGAAATTAGGGCCATTCCAGTCTTACTGTGCTTTCTGGTCTGCTCTATGCTAGGCTGTTGGCCAGAGTTCAGCCCTTCCAAGTGATGGTCTCTGTTGGTAATTGTCATAGCTCTGCTGGAGGACAGACAGGTTTCAGATACAAGAGGCAATGCTTTCTTGGGATGCGTGAAAAGAAGCAAGACGAGCTTTTGTTTGGGCTTCTTGTGAGAAAGCATGTAGACCAACATAAGTATGAATGTGTGTGCTACTACCTTTTCCTTTGTTAGACACTGTTGATGTATATACTTTGTAGTCCATGCAAGAACTGATGAACAAGAATGAGAGAAACCCTGGCATCACTGGAGGTAATGGGAAGCTCCCTGCTGTGTAGAGAGCACTATGGAAATAGTAGACATAGACTACTCTCTCTCTAGTATTCTACAGGTCCAATAGTAGTAAGGGAGAAAAAAAGGATTAGTGGAGAAATATTTCTAATATGAATATGTGTAGAAGGTTATTGCCCAAAATACTTAAAACCAATACATTAGTAACATTATTAACCAGCATTGGCTTGTGTTTTGTTTCTACTTCTGTAAATGAGACCTGATTGGCATGATAAAATTTTGGTTCCTGAGTTTGGATGTACTATTGTCCTGTTTATTCAAATCTTATTAATCATTGCCTCTGAATTCTCAAGTAATTTTTTTTTTTGCACATTTCAGAATTAAAAGATTGCAACAGTTCAATAGAGAGGTTGATAATATTTAACAAAAATTTATATACCAGCAGTTTTCAGGAACATGTGAATGTTCAAGAGAGAGTGTCCTTCATTGAACCTATGCATATTCTGTAAAAACTGTATTTTTATAGACATTTTACAATGCAGAAGGCTTTATATATGTCATAAAATAATTATTTATGTATCGCTATAAACCACTCTTACTTTCAAGCTTTACAACACTCTTTTACCTTACTGTACATAAGCCACAAACCGTTTAAGCTTTTTCTAAAAGGCTGCTTTCTATTTATGTTAGATGTGTTCTTGCTGGTTTTGGTTGTGAGTTTTGTGTGTATGGTTGTAACGTATTTTTTGACACAGGAGACTAACAATTAGGAGGAGCGATAAATCTGTTTTAATCTATGTAGAAAATAGATTGAAGTACCTCCTTCTTAACTCTGCAAATGTAGTTGTAAATCCTATTCTGTTTGCTCCCATCTACAAACCTGACATTGAAAAAGCATATCTGGACAGATGCCTTTAGTGAAATGAAGGAGGGTAATTTAAAGACTGATGTAGGATTTCTTATATCAGCTCCGTGAATCGTTTTTTTCCCTATAAGGTTAAAGCAGAGTTTTCATCCTCAGGTTGCTGAAATTGTAGGATATCTGGAATGGAAATTAAACTAATGTGTGGACTGAAGTCTTATTTCATATTGACATTCTACTGAATTTTCATGTGTATATTACAGGACCACCACACATAAAGGTTTAAATTGAGGAAATATTTCCACTGAAGTCAAGGAATACAGATTGCATGCATAGGAAAGTTAAAATTATTTTCACTGAAAACACAAATAAACCTTTGTAGAATTTCAGTTGCTAATTTTACAAACTTTTCAGTTCATAGTTTCTTACTAGAAGCAAAAAAAATGTTTGCAGTCTAAAGATAGTTTGGAAGTAGCAGGTATTTTGTGACAATCCTGTATTGATCATTTTTCATCCAGAACTTAAAAGGCAGATAAATTTTGATGGCTTTCTGATGGTTAACTCTGTTAAGTTTTCAAAACTCTGTAGTCTTTATGAATGATTCTCCAAACATTTTCTTTTCAAATTCTATTACTATGAAGTTAGAAAGACTTACTTTTTCAAGGTATTACATTTTTCTTAATTGAGCAAATTACAAAATTATCTTAATTAATCTGAATTTTCAGTATGTGAAGTGATACCTGTGTTAAATGAAAAATCTTTTTGTTCATGTGGCACATGTACTTCCTTACAGATGCATTATGATCTAAATTTACAAACTATCACCCAAGGCTAAACAATCAAAGTAGTAGGGTTTTGTTTGTTCCCCCACCCCACTACTAATTTAGGAAGAACCTTTTCCTCTTTACTAATGACAATCAGGATGCTCACTGATCTCTCTTAATTCATGTGATTTACATCTGGAGATTCTTGCCTGTAAGTGGGAATGTTGTTATTTGAGGCTATGGTATCCACCAGGAAGTACCACCGATGTGGATTAAGGAAAAGGGTATTTTAAACCAGGTTTGGGCTGTTGGGGGCTGATGTGATGGGAATGATGTGGTGCAGTTGGTGTGGGGAGAGTGGCATGTGTGGTTGGCGTTCTGCAGGCAGGAGTTGTTGGTTTGTCTTCTGGTATTGCTTCTTGAAGGCTTTCATAGTAAACATCTGTAAGACATCTTACAGTTGTTGACTAGCATTTAAATTACATTAGAGCTGTTTTTCAGCGTGTTCTGATACTGTGCGAAGCATAAAATAGAAAAATTGATCTTATTTTATAACATGAATATTCTCCAAAAGAGGTCAGCGTTGTTCAGAGGAGAGTTTGTCTTCTGAATGTAGGCTGCTTTCTGTGGAGAAATTCCAATTACATTTATATACACACAACACAAGAGGAGAAGGTGTATTTAGAGTCATTACAGTGGTTGTTACTTCTCTTCCCTTCAGCTCTCATTAAGGCTTTTGTAGTTGAGGTGCCTGCTCCCTTTCTGGCAGCCTGACAGTCCCTCGGGACAGGGGAGCTTCGCTCCTGCCCTGCCTTGGAAAGCCTCAGCACCCTTGGGGTCACCTCCCTGTGGCCAGTGGCTTTGTTCAGGGGATCTGTAAAGAGTATGATCGGATTGCAATTTTATGAATTTGGGAATTTATTTATGATTGTGTCAGGGATCAATGGAAGCATGCATGTGAAAGCAGTTTATATTTCTAAAGTTACTTAAATAACTCCAGTATTTAAAAATTGCACTTGATTTTGGTATTGCATAATCGGTTTTGTTGCTTTGCTGCCACTTGCAGTGAGAATACTGAATTTAATGCTCTATGAGAAATACCAGTTCATTTATTTATGTCTTCTTCCACCCAGTTTATTTATCAATAAATCATCTTACATATCTTGGAAATAAGTAATTTTAGAGTCATCATCATAGTCATAAATTCCTACCTGGCCTTTTCTCCCAGGTAACGTTTAAGTGTACTCTTGTAGGGGACTTACTGTACACAGTATCTTGCATGGATATGCTTTGCTTTTACTATTTTCTATATGGCAGCTCATTTGTTTGTCTCTGGATATTGTTCTGTCTGGGAGGAGACAATTTAAATAGGCATGTATTCAATCAGCATGTTAAAAGAATATTGATCATTGCTGGTGTCTAGGTATTGTTTCATATGATCAATTTCAGACCAATATATAATCAATTGATATGCTCTCTTTCAGGTTTAACAGATGAAAAAGTGAAGGCCTATCTTTCTCTTCACCCCCAGGTACTGGATGAATTTGTGTCGGAAAGTGTAAGTGCAGAAACTGTGGAAAAATGGCTAAAAAGGAAAAATAACAGACAAGAAGGTAAGTCCTTTTCATTTGTGATTAATATTTAGCTTTGAACAGCTCAGTTCTTATTTTTAGATTTAAAAAGGAAACCTAGTTTTGGTAAAGCTTGACTGTTATAATTTTTATGTCTAATTTCCACTATTTTTTGAAAGGCAAAAGAGGCTGACAATTTTTTTTTAATGTTTTCAGCCTTTTGGCATTTCTGTTTTGGAATATACTGCTCTTCATTTTGGAGGAACAGTTTACCTATTGTGAGTGGCAAATACTATTCTGCCAACCCATAATATCTGTTACATTAGTGTATGTTTTGAGAACATAATTTGTTGTCCTTGGATCTAAAATTTGTAAGTTTGAATTAAAATTATGCAGTGTGTGCAGGATGTAAGCCTCAGTAAAATTCTGGATATACCATCTCAAAGGTTCCTAGTGGCAACATGTATTAAGTCATTTTAGATATGAATATTGACACAGAGGTTATGAAGCAGTGTGTTGAATTCTGGAATTGTTTCTGTTGGGTTGCTTTAGGTATAATCCCTCACTGATTAGACCCAGAAAGCTGTTCCTTATGAGTTGGTCTGGGTTGACAATGATTGTAAATTTTGTAATGAACTTAAATTTTGTGATACTGTGTGCAAACATAAGCTTCATACTATTCCAACAGTGATCTGGAATGTACCAGCTAAAATACAAAAGAGATTACCAAGAAGGTGCAGAAAGAAACACTGATTTTACTCTACAAGTGCTTTTCTCCATTTCTGACTTCTAAGGTGCTTGGGGTTTAATTTCTGGTGGTAATTCCCGTTTTAGAGGGGCTATTGCTACTTCCTAGAAGATAACAGTGTGTTCTGCAGAATTATAGATGAAGAAGATGGTGGGCAAGGGACAGAAAAGGCTATATCGAGCCAGATTTTTGGTGGTGATGTCTATATATCTGAATACTAAGGTGGTAGCACATTTTTGATGGTGTAAAGAGGTTACCTAATAGAAGAGCAAAAATGCATTTAGCAATAGACCACCTGTGTACTACTTTCTTTGTTGTTTACAAACTGCAGCACTGCAGGATGGCTATTGTTATAATCCACAAATGCAATCAGAAAAACAGTGTTATGAATCAGGTGAATAAGTCATGATAATGTTTTTTGCAGACAGAAGAGAAAAAATACTTTGATGTTACCAGAAACAAATAGTGCTTATTGTGAAGAACTACCTTCCTGTGAAAATTATTTTCTCTAAGGTGCTCGAAGTCACTATATGAAATCATTGCTTGTTTGAAATACAGGCTCAATGATCTTGATGCTAAAAATGAATGAATGCTTTGGATAACTTTTCAGCTTCAAGAATCTTATATTACTAAGTGGAATTTATTATAAGTTGCTCAAAGTTTCCTTTTTTTTTTTTGTGGGGTGGGGCGTGTGGGGGGAGTGGGGTGTGAGGGGGGGAGTGACCTGAAAATACATTTTTGTGAAAGTGCTCATAACATTTTTTGGAGCCAGCTACAAAAGCAAAGTACCTGCTGACCACTGTCTTAGTGAAGTTTTAACACAAATAGCTGCAACAGTGTGATTTTCCATTCCTTCCTTAAACTTTAAACCTTCTGTTTTATGGCTAACTCTTCCCAAGTTGTTGATTTTAAAATGTCAAGCAATAGTTATACTATTGCTATCATTCAGCTTTATATCTGTTATTGTCAAGCAAGTCTTCCTGACTTCCCTGCTACTTCCCTTTTGCTGACAGTGTTCTTTAAGGTGGCCGTATTTATTAAAAGCACTAAAGGCAGTTATACAGATGTGGCTTTCTTAGTGTTGTATTTTTAGAGGAAAATAAGCAGGACCAGATTTAAAACTACACTTGACAAGTAAAAAAAGAGTAATTTGAATGCATTTTGTTTGTAGAATGGAACAGATACCAATTAGACTTATCTATGATTTTCTTCTAGAAAGATAAAGGCTATAGCCATATAAAATGTCTCTGATAACAAAACATCTTAATTTGCCAGAATGCAACATCTTTAGGAAAGAAACTTGCTAAGTGATTTACTCAGTTTGTGTTATATATGTACAAATCCTACCACGTGAGTAATGGTGGCAGTGAGAAATGAGGAGGAGAAGATGGAACTGATTCTTTTGGTGTCAGCATGGATCTGTGGTAACTTAAAGTGTATATGTAGCCTAAGTCACTTTACTTCAACAGGGTTATAATTTTCCCTCTATCTCTCTTGCTTTAGTGTAGTCTGCTTTACAAATGTTCACATCATGTAATGTGATACAGGCAGGGAAATAAGCTTTGTTTTTATTAGAAAGTTGCCAGGCAGGCAAAATACTGCTTTGAGATCTCTGGCTTAGTGTCTGTACTCTTATACGTTAGTGACGCAGAACAGTCATTAACCTATATACAGAAATTGTGTCCTGCCTGATTTACAGGCTTCCAGCTGTGTGTACTCTTCAGCCAGAAGTCAGTGGGCCTGCAGCCAGGGTAGTTTATCTGAATTTCATTATCCTGAACATAAAGTAAAACGTGTGATTTAGACTTAAATGAACCAAAATTTATCTGTGACTGAGATTCACTGAATTAGTTAATTTAAATGGATTTTGGTTTTTTTTAACCCCCAAAGTATTAAAAAGGGAGGCAATCAGTAAATAATGTAGTATTTAAGGTATAACTATATCCCAAAATGTCATGAGTTGTGTCATCAGTGTGTACCAGATAAATCTTGAATCTATGTTAGATTGAAAGTTGCTCATGACAGGTTAATGGTGATCTACCTGGGATCATAAGATTTGTTGTGGGTTTTTTTTTTCTTTTTTTTTTTTTGTAGTATATTGGAGAAAAGCTGCAAAGGTAGCACTGGGGAGGAATGCTGCTCATACTGATATTTGGGTATTCACTGCAACTTTTTGAACCCTGACTATTATCTACCAATAAAATACATGCTCAAAACACACTCAGGCCTTGTATTGTTGCACACACCATTTCCTATTTGTTATAAACTGAAATTGAGTTTTAAATTTTTCGTATCCAGATCATGGCTGAGTTAGGTAACACTTGAGTACAAACTGGACTGCTGCTCCTGGAAAGTGTTTTTGATTGTTTTTTGAAAGCAAAATTTAACCAAGTAAGAAGGTGTCTTGGTTAAAGAAACTGATTAGATATTTCTGGGTTAATTTTAACTCTTCTTCAAAGTTTCTTACATATTAGCTATGGAAGAAACTTATTTACAGATTAAGCCTACTAGTAGTCTGAGGTCTGGTCCGTTGCTCATGCTCTATGGCCTCATGAGATGTTTTATGAAGTTTGTAGATCAGAAAAACACCCTCATAAACACAGTAAAAAGTGCCTTTACTTGTATATCTAATCTTACTTGAGGTACTGGTGTAAGTTATACTGGTAAGATACATGATCTTGCATTTAAAGATTTATTAAAGGTACATCTTGATAGAAGGAGAATTTTTCAATGGACTGCAAGAGTTATTCTGCCAGGAGGAGATCTTTTATTTTCCAGATGCTTAGATATAATACTCACAGAACTCACAAGATTTCTTCCATTTGTCCTCTTCCATACCATTAAAGCAAAAGTAACGGGTGATTGTAGCAAAAGGCCTAAGATTATGGAAGTTTTAGGCTCTGCTGGATAGATTCTCATGTCCCAAGAAATTTTTCAGTAAAATATTTATGAACTTCATATAATACCTTAATTATATTATTTGAATCTTCATCTCCACAACAATAAGAAGAGGCTAATCACTTTGATTATAAGCCATATGTGTATCTTTTACACTGCTCATACTGAATTTCACAGATGTCTTTCCTAATTTTTTAAAGATGTCTTTGTATAGGAAGAAAAGAGAAAGTATACTCACACCAAATTTCTACATGGAAGGCTGCCTATATCACCTCTTGCTCTGTGGGAGCAAAGTTATCACTTCCCTAAGGGGATGGTTCTCATGTTCATCGAAGTGCATGTTCATGTGCTTAATTACCGCTGAACCTGAACACATCAACAACAGCTTTACACATTATTTTCTTCCAGCAATACTTGCCAAAACCATGTAAAGTTATGCATAGTGGGAACTTAAGGTGCTTTTCTACCATCCAAATAGTGTTTTAGGTAATTTTGAAATACAATTAAAAAAAAAAAAAAACCTACATTGAGTTCACAATATAACACTGATTACACACAGTCAGAAGTTGCTGTCTGTTGCGTGCCATGGATTTACTGCATTTACAGGAACCCAAAATTTCATAATTGACCTATTTTTTTTAAAAAAAAAGTGAATAAATTGGGAAATTAATTGCTTAATATAATGTTAGTGTGATATTGCTGTAATATTTATTCAGGATGTATAGTCCTCAAGAAGAGATCACATAATTTTATCTGTGCTTTGAAAACCAATAGGATTGATTGTTTTGGGGTAAGTCCAAGGTATTGTCATCCTAATACTAGTATTTCCATTTGCAGACTTCATAATGTACTATGCTGTCACCTGCTGTACATTCCAGCAAGAGGAGAATGTATTATGTGATGTGAGCAAAATATTTAGCATTTTCTGATATTTCCGTACATGAGTTGTTTCAACAGAAACATGAAATGACCTTTTAAGTAATTTTACATGTATTATTTTATGGACTGTTGATTTTTCCTGTTGTGCTTTTCTGTATCCATTAATTTCCTGTTGGTGTTATATAAGTTCTATCCGATATGCTGTTGCTAATATGATACAAATGATTAAATGAGTGTATTTGGTTGTTTCAGTTAAATGACATTTGGGAACATTCAAAGTACTTTTTCTTCTTTTTTATTTATCATTACACAATAAATCAGAGTGTATTCATTGCTACTTTTATGTAATTTCTGTAAGCAGTCTGGCTGACTGCAGTATAAAATGTGATTCTTCATTAGTCATTTAAGTGCATGATTTTCTCATGGCGTATCTCATTCTTGTGAAGCAAGTATGACAACAGTGTGTGGGTTCAGAATTCAGATTAAGACCCGATTCTGTCATGTTTTTAGCTCAGCC